TCTGTGTGCAGCCAGGAGCCTTACCCAAGGTTCCAGCAGGAGCAGCCCTGCTCAGGCTGGGCTTTGTGTCCCTGTGGAGTGGAGGCCCTGGAGATGGTGAGCATGGGTAGGGGGAGGAGAGCAGGTGCCTTCCCAACCCCAAGTCTGGCCCCGGACTGTGCCCACGTGATCGTCAGAATGGGGATCTGAACACTTGAGATCCCAGCTGGAATGGGAGTTAGCTGTTTCCCTGTGTTATTTTTAAGCTTTATTTGGAAATAATTTCAAACTCACAGGGAAGTCTCAAGAATAGTATTTTAAAAACTGCATAAATTTTACCTAGATTCATCAGCTTTATTCTTTTGCTGCATTGGCTTTATTTCTTTGGACCCATTTGCAAGTAGGTGGCATACATCATGCCCTTTCCTCCTTGAGTGCCTCTTAAGAACAAGGACGTTCTTTGCTGTAACCATGACATGGTTGCCAAGTTGAAACTTCTCATATGATGTGATGCTGTAGTCAGCAGCCCCTCTTCCGACTCCATCACTTGTCCATCAATCAGCCTTAATCAGGTGTGGCAACAGCTGCGGGGGCAGGATGGATGGAAGCCAGTGGTGGGTCGTATATCCGAATGTGTGTGTGGCAGCCTCCAATGCAGGTCCCATTCGACGAGCTTTGGAATTCTCAGTGCGGGGCTGCTGGTGGCTACAGTGCTCCATGTATGGGATCTTATGCTGTTTCCGCACCAACCCTGTGAGGCTTGCAAGACAGCCCCATTTTAGAGCTGAGGAAGCTGAGGTTTGGGGGCTAGGGAGTGATGTGCCCAGGGGACTTTTAGGATTTGAGGGACCAAGTCAGAACTTGAGTTTTCTCTCTCAGAGTTTGGTGATGCCTCTGATGCCCTTCATGAGAGAAGAGGCTGGAGAAATGGGAGGACAGAAAAGCAGGGGCATCATCTGGCTGACGGGACACCCTAGCCTCCCCTTCCAGGCTGCGGGCTACCCCCCACCCCCGCCACCCAGCTGATCCCACATGTGTCCTTGCAGGGAGCTACTTTGCCCGAGACGCCGCATATTCCCACCACTACAGCAAATCTGACACCAAGTCCCACATGATGTTCCTGGCCCGGGTGCTGGTGGGGGAGTTCATCCGAGGCAACGCCTCCTTCGTCCGCCCCCCGGCCAAGGAGGGCCTTGGCAACGTCTTCTACGACAGCTGCGTGAACAGCATGTCTGACCCCTCTATCTTCGTGGTCTTCGAGAAGCACCAGGTCTACCCAGAGTACGTCATCCAGTACTCCAGCTCCACCAAGCCGATGGGGGGGGGGATCTCCACCTTCTTCTCCTTGGCATCTTTTTTTGGGGGCCGGCAGTGAGCCTGCCAGGGTGTTTTTAATGCCTTTCAGGCCCATCTTCCTTGGAGTAGCTATTGGGGAAGGTGTTTTTTTTTTTTTTTTTAAACAAAAACTTTTAATGAACTGTTCATTTAACGTTGACTTCCTGATGAAGTTACATTCTTAATCTCTCACTGGTAATGGTTTTTGGTTTTAAGCCACTCTTGGGCTAGTTACTAGACTAACCAGAAGTGATTATAGGTGGTCCTGTTAATTGCCTTTTACTAGTGTGTTAAAGTTTTATTACTTACACTCTTTGTTGACTTTGCGGCTGATTGGCACCAGGCACAGAGTTTCTAGATACTATTTTATGGATTGATTTTAAATTTAAGTTCCTGTCTCTGCAGTGAGTCATTTGTTTTTTCAGGGTCTCAGTGGCATCTTGTTTAATTTTTTGTCAAAATGACACAGTAGCCATCAGTGCAGGAGGCCTCCCTGTCTGTTGCTCTGGCTCTAATCCAGGCACCTCTTCTCCTGGGCTTCTGGCCTTGGAGTCGGCCCATCAGTCACAGCGTGAGAGCAAGTGGCTACTGTGGTGTCACTGGGGCCCTGTCGTGGGGTCCACATCATTCAGTGGAAGGTGACTGGGATGAGTGGCTGCCAAGGACCCCCGGGCTCTGCCCACGAAGGCCCATTCCCACATTTGAGCACACTGGACACCCTCTGAATGTGGGTTTTCTGTTCCTGTGAGATTTGAATACCTGTGCTGCAAATGTCACAACGGAGAATGGAAATAAAGGAATATTTATCTGAAGTGGGCGACAACCAAAGTTCATTCTTCAGCATCTATTTATCGAGCACCTGTGGGGTACAGACACTTTTCTGGGTGTTGGGATGTAACAGAGCCCCCAGTACTGGCCTTGGGGGCTGTGTGTGGACTTATCCTAAAGCTGATGAACCTGAAAGTTCAGGGCCACTCACTTGCTGGGGCTTCTTCCACAACCGTAAGAGGGGCCCTAACTATATGGCCACATGGTCCTACATCTCCATTAAATTTGCAAAAGTTACATATTCATATTTTTTTTCTTTCCCCCAACCGCTATGAATTTCAAGTTCCACAAAACCCAGATTGACTACTGAGCAGGGTGTGTCGTGGACATGGAGGGGTGGGTGCGTTCTGAGTGTGTCTTGCACACATAGCAGTCGATGGGAGTCTTTTTTTTTTTTTTTTAAGATTTTATTTATTTATTTGACAGAGAGGGAGAAGCAGGCCTCGTGCTGAGCAGGGAGCCCCATGTGGGGCTCGATCCCAGGACCCTGGGACCATGACCTGAGCTGAAGGCAGCCACTTAACCAACCGAGCCACCCTGGTGTCCCGTCGATGGGAGTCTCTGCTGGGCACTGGCTGGCTCTGCTCCGGGGAGGAGGGGCGGGCAGGGCAGCTCTGTGTCATGAGGTGGCTCTCCCTGTTGGTCTCTGGGTTCAGTCCTCAGCAGTGGGCTCCTCCTCCTCCTCCCCTACACCCTTCTTGCCCATTCCCCCACCTTCCAATACAGTGTGTCCACTCCATAGGATGCCTCTGCTTCTGTCACTTTGTCCTCAGGTTCTCAGATCCAAGGCTGTTGAGTTTTTCCATCTTTGGAACAGGTGTAGGGAATGCCCTGGAACCTTACACAGGTCAGCTAATCAAGGCAGAGAGCAAGTGAATTCTATGACCAGAAAAATGTAGTAACAGCAGTACTACCTTACCCACCTGCTGGGCTAGTCACCTGGTTGTACATGGTATGATTTTCAGAGCCACCAAAATATTTACCCTATACCCTGACTGATCCTGAAATTTTATTCATTGCTTTTCGATTGAGTCATGGTCCTACTACAGTGTAGGTGCGGGGGGAGCAGAGGGGTGTCAGGGAGAACCATTAAATCAGGTGCTTGCCTGCTAAGTCTTAAAAATGTAAATGATCCCATGCTCATTAACCATCTGGCTGCTGGGAGCTGAATGGTGGGCAGCAAGGATGGTCCATTGGGGAGTGTGGGTGGGACGGATGTCTGGAGAGATCTGGTGTGGGAGGTGATCACATGCTCCAGAAAAGGCAGTTGAGCTACGAAGACTGCAGGGGCCCTGGATTTGCTCACCTTTCAGAAAGCAAGCCAGGAAGAACACCTACTTAGACCTGAAATTTGAGAAACGGACGGGGTCCATGTGACCAGGTTGTGGGATCAGGGGGGTGGGCTGGTGATGGGATGAAGTCAAAATGACGGTAACTCTCGGTGCAAAGAGGCGGTGGCACCCAGGGCAAGTGTGTGTGACTGACTAGTCACGAGGACCTGGCTGAGATTCAGCTAAAGGTCCTGTGGAGGGTCTAGTCCGTGCCATCTTCTGCCCCGTGGTAGCTGGCATTGCACATGGATGGTGGGATTTCAGGGGAGCCTAGGGATTGTGGGTTGAAACAGAGGAAAGGCCGAGTCCAGGAATTCTAGAACATGAGGAAATCTCACTGCTGTGTCTGAAGATGGGAAGCACCTGGACAGAGAAGGTGAGGGAAGCCAATGGATGGAGCTGACGGGCCAGGGGCGCCGGGCGCAGGCTGTGCTCTGAGGAGGGAGCCAGGTGCTCCGTTGGGCCCTTCTCGAGGATGAGGCTCTGTGATGGCCATAGAGGGTCGGGGGCTGGGAGATGGGCAGGCCAGTCAGGAAGGGCAGATGGGTCACCAGGAATGGGAACGTGTGGCTTTCTCCAGTGAGTCTGAGCCCCAGGACCAGACATGTAGAAGGGGCTGGGGCCCAGACAGGAGCAGTGGTGAGAGTGAGGGTGGAGAGAGAGCTGTGTGATGGGCTGGCTGGGCAGCTCCTAGGGCTGGGACCGCGCTGGGGGACGAGGCTGCCTTCCTGTCTCCGGGGAAGGACTTTGGGGGAAGCATGGGGTCTTCTGGGCTGGAGTGGGAGTGGACCCGACGGCAGAGGCAGCATCCACAGCCATGGATACGTGGAAACCTCTTGTGCCAGCTCTCCTGAAACCGCCTAAAAGGTGGGTCAGCGTCTGGGCAGCCATGCTTCCTGGCTCCTGCTTGGAATGCTGTCTATAGAACATTCAGCCCCTTCATGCTGCTCAGATGGTGCAGAGGAGGGGGCTTTGATCGAGGCCAGCTGCCCCGTTTTACAGATGAGGACACAGAGGCACAGAGACGTGGGAAGACCAGCAGCCACAGCCACACGTGGCTGGTGGCAGGTGTGGGATTCAACTTGAGAGCGCTTCTCAGCAACACGATAGTTTTAACAAATTCGCTTCTACATTTTGACTCTTTGATCAAAATTAAGAGAAGGTCCGATGCCTACATTTCAGTCTCTCTCACTCTTCTGTGTATTAAAACCTTATAAAGTTAGTATTTTTTTATATAAAGTTAGTATTATCCTACCTAAGAAAATCAAAGCATAAGAAAGCTTTTGAGCCACTGTTGAAGCTGGGCTTCCGATAAATGCCATTTTTTAAGTCACACGCCCCGAGTGCACCAGAAGCTGAAGAGGCCCAGGAGCTGGTGCTGTCAGGGCAGCTCACCTGAGCGTCCCCGTGTCCTCTGCTCTATAGATTCCTTCCATCCTGAGGCCAGGACTTCCTTCAAAACCCCGAGTTCTCATTTTGACAGAATTACATTTTTTTGCATATTTATCTGCAATCCCTGATGGAGAAAGATGGATCAGTGGTTCATACATCATCAGCAAAGTCAAAACTAAGTGCAACAAACATTTATTAAGCCTTTAGGAAATGTTATATAAAGACCTCTTTTATACTTGCATGTCAGGGACCCTTTCAATTGCTTCAGTGATGTTTTCGCTCAAAATCTGAATTTCCACATGAAGGTTTTCTTTGAATCTGGGAGTGTCCTCATAACACTGTCAGCGGGAGACAATCTTGATGTAGACGCCATTCTTTGGACCTAGGGCAGATTTGGATTCTAGCTGCAGTGGTACCTAAAAGAGAGATGAAGAGACTGGTTACAGCTAACTGCATCTACAGGGAAACTTCTTTGGAACTGGGCCTGGGGTTGTGGAAATGAGAGACAGCAGGGGTGAGTGAGCAAAGCAGCCTCCCTAGCATGGCCTTGAGAAGCCAGCAAAGCTGCATCTCAGGGACACTGGGTGCTGGGGCCCCAGCAGCACACTGGTGCCTGACCCTCTTTCCCGTGTTAATAAAATGCCGCCGCTGAGTAAGGAACTTAGCATTTATCCTCCCAAGAAGCCTGCATAAGTAGTAGTATCTCACTTTGCAAAAGAAGAAATGGAGGTTCAACGAGGCCAAGTGACTCGTCCAATGTCACACAACTGGGAAGTGAAGAGCAAAGCCTCAAACTCTCTCACCTCCCCTCTTCTCACTCCCTGGTGCCCTGGTGGTAACTGAGCCGCCCCCTCTCTTTCCAAGGGGCTTTGGGAGAGTGGCTTCTTACTGTCCCCTTCTCATGTGTGCTGTGGTCTAGCCTCACTGCCATTCAGAAAGCTTTCCTCATTAACTTACAAGGCAGATTGATGGTGGACTGGAGACTTGGAAGAAAAGCCAAAGAATTACTCAAGAAGCAGCGTGTCCCCTTGAGTCCTGGGTAAAATGATGGTTCAATGGCTAATGTGAATGAACGATTTAAGGGAAAGAAGAATCACCGGGCCTTAGTGTTGGGGTCTTGGTGGGCTTTTCAGATGTCTTTGGGGGCTACAGTTCAGATAGGAGACAAGTTATATCACCAAGAAACAAGATGAACTAAACTTGTGCTATCCTGTATGGTAGCCAGTAGCGCGCGTGGCAACTGAGCATTAGAAATATGCTTAGTGCAAATGAGGGGCTGAGTTTTTTACTTGGTTATTAAAGTTTACGTAGCCACATATGACTAGCAGCTACCGTATTAACACCAGTCTAGACAAACTGGAAACACCATTGGACTTCCAAAAAGGAATCAGTTGGAGCTAGCAAAGTCAGGGAGGGCTTCCTGGAGGAATGGACACCTGAGGTGGGGCTAGGAATGGGAGAAGCCCTGTAAGCAGGACTTCTCAAGGGCCGCTTCGGGATCTGAGGGTACACCAAAAGATTTGGAAGATGGGATTAGGCTGGGGCCAGGGAAGTGGAGGGGGGAATGGCATTCCAGCTAGGGAGGAGTGGGTAGAACCCTCCCAGAGTGGGAAGTTGGGGCAGAAAACACAAAGTGGGCTCAGACGAGCTCTCTGTAGATCCAGGAGGCCCAGGGACTCATGCCTGGTTCTTCAGCTGGGGAATGCCAGGCATAAGCAGGGTTTTGGGACAAATGCTGCTGTACTGTTTGTCAAAGATCAAGGGGAAATGACACAAACCCCAAAAGGAAGTCCTGCACACACGGAACACCTCAGTCATTAGGGGGCCTGCCCTCCTCTCTGCTGGTTTGGCTCTGTGTTCCCAATTTGCCCCTCCCTCTCTCCAGCCTTGAATCCAGTCTCTGTTTGTCAGAGGCAATGCCACTCTCGGACTCTAGAAGTTGTCCATTCATCACTGTGTACTTAGTACCTGTCCCCATTCATGCTCGTGTCCGGCTGTGCAGAGGGCTCCTGAACAGGCATGGAGGGGACACCATGTTCAGGCTGTGTAGGCACAGCAGACACTGCAGAGAGGCAGCTAGAGGGAGAGGAAGGAGGGAGGCTTGGGGGGTGCACCAGATCTGGTTGGAGCCCGTTTCTTCGCTCCCTGGTTAGTCATTCATTTGCTCTTTAACATTCGTTCAGTGAACGCGTGAGCACTTGCGCTGGTCCTCGTGCTGGAGACTGCAACAGTGAATAGGACAGACTTGGTTCCTGCCCTCACAGAGCCTGCAGCCCAAGTGCGTGGCCTCAGGCAAGTGACTTAACCTCTCTGAGCTTTATTTTAGCTCCTCACCTGAAGAATGGGAATAATACAACCTACTCTGGGGGATCCCTGGGTCCTCTTCGCTGAACAGGGAAGAGCTCCAGCCTCGCAGGCGCAGCCTCGCAGAACAGACGAGGTCCATCGTAGCAATAGGAACGCAGACTCAGGTTCTGTGCGAGGCGCGTACCTGAGCACTTGTGCGGACCCATTCAAACCTCACACAACAGGAACGGGGAGAAGGTGTGATTATTCCC